ATTCAAATGTGATGGCAAACATGAGCATGATCAAAGTAGGGGCAAAGCTCTTAAACTTGCTGAGAATTATACTTTCAAGTTGACTGACATGCTTCATGAGTGTTTCCGGGTAGCTGCGAAGGGCCAAGAATCCAAAAGGATCGTCTGTAGTGTCAAACTTGCTTGTCCTGTCAAAATGGCCGACTCGCGATTCGCAGCAAACCCGGCCAGCCGCAAGGCTGCGCTCGATGCCTCGCAACGTGAATTGAACAAGAATGCATGGACCAATATCCACCACCGAATTCTTCTTGCATTGGCCATGAGAAACCAAGGTGAAGGTCAGATTGTAAATGATTTCACTGAGGGTTTGCTGGGTGAGTGGACGCCAGCATCCGCAATTCGGTTTTATGGAAAGAACGACCCGCTGGCAGAGTACTTAGATTTTTGCTTCCTTCCCAAAGAGTCCGAGTTGGAAAGGGTCACTTTGCCGGGCGTGAGCCCGAGCCCAGTCATCTGGATCTTAGTCTCCGATTCGTCATGTGCATTGATCACTGGACGTAGGCACACCCTCAAGAAGTACGACTTGTCTGAACATTTTCAGCAGCGTAAACCTGCTGGTATGTTTTGGAGTTTATCCATGAGATGCTCTGGGGAAAGACCCTCCAACGCCTGGTCAAACGTGGGATTGAATTGGCCGCGGACGCCCGCGAGCGCCACGGTCCAGATGCCCGCATCAACCTGCATTTGTCCTGGTTTGGGAAGGAGCTGGTAGGGGAGAATGGGATTGCTCAAAATCCGAATTGGCCATACGACGGCCCCAACGGACATTGGCCGACGATCCTTGAGGATTGTGAACGCCATTTGAAGTGGTTCGTCAACAAAGCCAAGGAGCTGGATTTGCAATCGGCCGGTCTTACGACCGCGCCCTGGTCTGCGGACTATGCCATCCACCCCATCTTTGACCAGTTCTATGAAGCATTGGAGCCAAAGTTCAGGGCGATGACCTGCAGCCCGCAAGGGCTTGCCAACCCTCGCTTCCCATGGTTGCGCGCCAAAGGGTAAGCCGACGCGATGGAGTTCAAGGACAGTTGGCACTTTGTCAACTCCGAGGAGAATCGTGTCAGGCTCTCTGCGTACTGGACGGCAACTTTGTTTGCCGTCGACTGTGGGTGGAACGTTAGCAGGGTTGGCCTGGAGCTCGCGGCACTTGAGCGGGAGACGTATGATCACCTGAAGCGCAACGTCAACTTCGTGCTTGATGCTCTGCCGGTGTCATACCAAGAAAAGGTGGCTGAAATTACGAAGCTGTTGTTCGGTGAATCGCGGAGGCACATCATCCCTGTGGGGAAGTCCTTTACGGTCGAGGATGCCCAGGCCCGGCAGCCAGATACGGAGGACTTCTTGGACGTGAAAAATCTTGACCCAGGTATGTTTGCAAGTCCCCCGACTGAAGATCCACCGAAACCGGCCGCCGGCGACGGCGCGCCCGGAGCTTCGACCTCAGTTTCAATCACTGTCAAGACGCCCGAAGTCGTATTGAAGTCAAAGCCCAAAAAGCAGCATCAGAGACTGCCTCGGCATCCGCCGCAGTTGCAGGAGCCAGCTCAAGCGCATACCGGCCGCAGTTGCCTGCGAGCTCAGTTGGGGAGTATGTTCAGGGTCATGTCAAGTCATATTGGATGGAAGACCACCTTCCCGAGTATCAATATACTATGGTGACAAACTCTGATGGGAATGAAGTTCCCGGCATCCTTTTCAACGGTACTGCCTACGAGCTGGAACTCATTAGTGCTTCGGATGTGGAAACTCTTGCCAAGCAGATTCGTGTCGACAAATGATTTCGCCACGCGTGTGAACAAGGTTTGCAGGGGTCATGCGTCATGTTCCAAAGTCCCAATGGACAAAGATCTCTTTGTAGATTTGGAAGCATTCGCAAAAGCCTTCCGCAAGGAAGTGCCCCCTGATGTGCTCATCACGGTTACAAATTTGTTTGGCACTGCCATGAAGGTTGAAGCAAAAGCAGATTCCAGTTTCTCTGCGCCCGCCGCATTCCGGACATTGGATTTGACAACAATCTTGAATCGATTTTCGTGCCAATCAAGATCCGTGCCATTCAAGGTCATTCAGCCGAAGCCTTGAAAGGTGCAGGTGGCTTGTTCGCAAACTCCACCCTGATCTACTGTGCCGACAACGTTTCTCCGGAAAGAAAAGCCGCCTTCGCAGGCGTGCCCATCTGTGACATGAGGTCCCTGATGTTGTGTATCATCGCACGATGAGGAGCAACTGGAAGAGCATCGCCAAAAATGGTCTCATTCCTGGAGGTGGTGACTCAGTCAATAGCGGTCGCGCACATGTTTACGTGTCGCAGCATCGCTTTGGCACAGATGGGTATAGATCCGGACTTCGTGGCAAGTGCCCGATCGAGATAAAGATCGCCATGAAGCAAGCAGTACAGGGAGGTGTCATTTTCAGCCGTACCGAAATGGACGGCATCCTGACTTCTGAAAAGGTTCCGCCTCAGTACATCATCAGCATTGCCGAGGACAACAAGGTGATTTGGTCCCGCGCCAAGAGCAATCTCGAGCCCACCACTTGGACAGGCGCGGAAGCATCCACATCACCAACTTCTGGAGTCCGACTTGTGGCACGCGATGATGCAGATCCTTCTCATGATGATCAGATGAGTGACACCAGCACAGGGCAACCTGATGCTCGTTCTGCACAAGATGACAACACCACCGACGACAGGATGCAAGTTGACCAGCCACCCATGCGGGTGCGCCGTGTCTATATTGCTCCGAAGTACGAAGAACCATTCACAGGTACTTGCCCTTTGTGTCAGGTCGAATACGTGAGCGGTCAGGTGGTGTGCAATACGTGCGGCTACGAGCCCTTGCCTGTTGATGAGTCGGGCGAGCCAAAGAAACTGCCTAATCGCCGAACATCTTGGAGAAACGCATGCAAAAGCTTGCAGGTATTGGGATGTTTGGCAAGGTGAACTCCACGTTACTGGCCACTCTCACGAGTGAGCAGGCAGATTTGCTCAGGCAGGAGATGGGCGCGCGAGGCACCAGCCTCGAATCGTCAGTGATCAAGGATTGCAGAGATCGCTACAAGAGGGCAAAGCAGCTGGGGTACGAGAACGTCGAGGACCGGTATGCCAGCGATGTGACCTTCTGCGATCAAATGCATGAGGAAGGCAGAGGGCTGAATGACTGCATCTTTGATGACATGTTCGCCTTCGCAAACTTGCCTGACCCTCTGCGTTCACGCATCCAGATATCTGCTGGCGTCGCCGCCAATGCCGAGCATCAGAACTGCCTTTCAAAGCTCATCTATATGAGCCAGCCACGTGGAGTCGAAGGCTTTCCCGTCGAGTATCGCGGGACCTGGACTAAGGTTTGGGGATTCATGTTTGGCCGTCACATCTTCAACGAGGAGGAGTATACATCAGCTATGTGGGTCGCAGAAATGCGTACCGAGGCCTTCTGGAAAGGGATCGTCACCGTGCCGTTCGATGGAACTCAGGCTTTTCTGGACAAGGTTTACGAAGAAAATCTGCCACTCGTTCGTGGCAACCTTGAACGCAAAGAAAAGCAGAGCGCGGCAGCCAAGGCTGGTGGTCCTGGAGGTCAAAAGGCCGACCCTACGGTCGAGCCCACGGCTGAGCGAAAGCGCAAAGCCGAAGCTGATGCAAGTGCCACCGCAACAGGATTTGAAACAACCGCCGCATCCAGCTCTGCGCAAGCAGATGCCTCATCTGGTGCCACACCATTCCTTTCGCCTGATCCACCAGCCCAAAGAGCGGAGCAAGACCTTTCTTGGAGCCCGAGCCGACGACAACTGCATCAAAGGCAGCCAGCCTTGCAACGTCAAAGGCATCAAGCTCCGGTCGCCCGGATGCCTCTTGGAGTCGGAATCGTGATCACTATGGTGCCCGCCGTGAATGGAGTTTCTGGCGTGGAGCGTGGTATTACCGAGATGAGGCCGGCGGCCGATGGATCGGAACCGATAGATAGCAATGATCTTTGTAGCTTTTGTGCAAGATGTGGCATGGTAAATTGCCTTCCTTGCTTTGCTGCGACTGGTTTTACGGAAGCTTTTCAAGGGACCTTTGAAATGCTGTGCAAAATCCAAAAGCCAAATAAAAACAATCTGGCCAACCGCAAGGTTGTGCCCTTCTGGTTATTCGGTCTCTACAGCTGTCCCTGCTCCCCCGAGGGGAGTGCAAAAACTCCTGCAGTAAAACCGTAGGTTGTATATATATCATTGACTATCGTGCAGCGTTGGTTCAAAACAGGATTAGCTGCTTAACGGTATTGTGTTTTTCCCCATTGTCGGCTGACCTGGGTAAATACAGTATGACAAGAACATACAGAAAGAGGACACCATTGTAATGCAAACTGAGAACGTATCAACCATTCGGTGTCGAGGCAGTCCATTCTACCGCTTTTGTTTGCAGACTTGATGTTGCACTTTAAACACGCGCCCACACGCCCTACCATGTTGCTTCACATCCACATGAACAAGATATTGTGGACCGGACAAAACACGTAAAAGTAGTTTGGGTGCCCAAAATTATTTTGTATTTTCAGCCCATGGAATTACGACTTCAATGAGTTTATCCAATAGAGCTACCCACACAAACGCAATGTTTCAATGAATAGCTTGCGGTTCCAATTGTGACGCTTAACAAGGTTATGGCACATGAACAGTGGACCTAGTTTAGTAGCTTGGGTATACCGCATTGGGAATCAGATAACATCCAAGTTACAATGGGTCTCAGTGCACTTACTAAGCATTTGCTAACTTTAGGCATGATTTAATATTCTGAACCCCCATTTTGCTACTGTTCTAATGCCCTCCAGATATCTCCAAATGGCGAAATCGGGTAAATGGGGTATGGTTCATTATTTTTTGCTATTGGGTTTGCCGGTTGCCACATGAACGTTAGATATCATCGTAGAAGCCGACCTTCCACTCCATTTTTGTATCGGTTGATGTGTCTGCCACTCCGTCAGGGTGTGACTGATGTGATCGTGGAGACAGAGCAGGAGATTGAGAGTGAGGCGCTTTTCTCCTCAGCGAGATTTGCTGTTAATTGATGTTAATTGAACATTGTCAAGTAGCCGTGGCGGTTTCTTTCTAACATAACAGGAGACTCGAAAAAATGCACATTTTTTGAGTGGAATCCATGACGCATGGATTTACATCCATTCCTAAGACCCAAGACTGTGTGAAGAGAACCCCTTCATGCGCAGCATTTGTTCCAGAGGGTTTTCGACTGCAAATTTGTTCTCGAACATCTTGGGCAATTCATCTTGGGAACTTTGTAGACCCCGACGCAATGCTTTCCATAGAAACTGAAAAGTCTTTCCGGCTAAGAAATATCATTCTTGCTGTAGGCAGGCGAAATGGTTTCGATGGTATTTATGGAGACTCGAACTGATGGCTGGGTGAGGGGTTGGGCCTCGGGTTTGGCTGAACCTGGTGGCAGATCATGGGACATGTTTCAAGAGAATTTCCATATTTATAGACGATTTCCACATGAACGATGGCGGGTCTTCCATTGCCATGTTTGAGTGCCAGAGATTGTTCCAAGTTGAGAGACCACAAAATCAATTAGAGTGGTCATTTTCGGAGATGTTGGTTGAGAGATGTGGGGATTCAGTTCTCAAGTGAATGGGTTCTTAGTCATTGTTTTGATAAGTTCTTGATTTGGTCAGTTGCTCTGACATGCTTGTGACATCAATCAGTTGGTTGTAAGACAGTTCGATGGTATAGATGTATTGGTGTTTTGTTAAGAGATTTTGTGTCGTTGGAAGGGAAATTCGCAGTCATGAGTTATAGCACCTTTGAGGTTCCAGTTCTGGAGGATCGTGGACCGGGGTCAAAATTTTGTGCATTAAACATTGAGACCCCAAATGTCCCCAATGAGAATGGTGAGAAAACCAGCAAAGGCACCGAAGCCCAAACGATACCACCATGCAGTCCATTTTTTCAAACTTGATCAAACTTTCTATGTGAGACATACGGCCACCCTTGTACTTGCTTTGAGAAACTTCTGCAAGACCTTTCGTTCTTGGACAGTGACGTAAGCAACAGCAGCCCTCTCATAAGCGTAGTTCGTAGAGCGTGACGCACACTCCTTCTCCATACTTCACAGCATATTCTTGGTGCATCCTTGCGAAATAGATAGAACGGGCCATTGTCAAGGACATCACATGGGGACAAAGAGCGTTTTTCGATTTGGGACACCTCGTGGCGCAGCGCAGTGATTGCGTTTGGATACCGTTCTCCAACGACCAAAGCGCATGCAACCAGCAGTCCATCGCAAGACACTGGTGGCTTCTTTGGTGTTTTCGTCTTCCTTACGTGATTCTTTTCCTCCGTGTTTTCGTTTTCGGGTGTTTCTTACTTCTATCTTGTGGTGATCTTTCTCTTGTGTTTTCCGCAGTATAGCAAAACTTTTCTATGGGGTCTTTAGCCCAGATTAGCTCCGGTGCGATCCGGTGCAGCTTCAACACCAGGTTCCGGACAAGGTTCCGGAGTGTTCTGGCGCACCTCGTGAGGTTCCGAAGGGTTCCGGTGCAGATACCTCGTGAGGTTCCGGAGGGTTCCGGTGAAGATACCTGCTGAGGCTCCGGAGGGTTCTTGTGCGGTTCCGGAGGGTTCCGGTGCAGATCACGAAAGCTAGCGGTAGCTAGCTGGAGTTACTCTTGCTTCAGCAAGGGGAGGGGCAGGGTCTGAGTCCAACACAATGATTTTTCACTCGAACCCCCCCAAGCTCCCGGGGCATTTTGAAGCAGTCGGAAGCAGGTAACCCTCTGGCATTGGGCTCGATAGAGTTCTTTCTGCCATCAAAAATTACAAGTTTGGATGGGGCCCAAACTTTATCGCGTATCCACCTTCTTTGGCTCAGACATTCCAAGCTCGCCATGAGCTTCTAACAATTTGGCAGTGAGCTCGATAGAATTCTTTGTGACTCGGATCAGCAGTTGAGGATTTGAGCCCCATCAAAAATTGCACTTCTGGATAGGGCCCCAACTTTTTACAGTAACCATGTTCTTTGGTTCACATGTTCTACGAATGAAAGTTGAACATTGCACCTCTTCTTTGCAACCGTCTTGACTGTCTGACACTTTGGCAGTGAGCTCAAAAGCAGCTCCAGATACAATCCCCCCTATTGTTCAATGGCGGTGCCGGCTGCAAAGGCCTAGATCACTTGCATTTATGTCGTGTAAGTATGTGTAAGTTTGCAGCTCTAATATACCTCCATCCGACGTCACCAAACACAGCATGCAACTTCCTTCTACATATGAACCTCTCCATTGCGCAGCCCCTGTGCCTGTATATGCATGTCTATCTCTTTGTGTCGATATCGTGTTCTGATTTTCTTTGTGTATTTTCTTTCTTCATATATATATATATTATAAATATATATAATTATATAACATACACATCTCATCTGTATTTATATATTAGCTAAATTCAAGATAGGTGCTTGATATCCAGCTATAAGATGGGTACGCTACGCTTGGTACGCTTGGTACGCTTGGTACGGTAGGGTTGGTACGCTTTGTACGCTTGGTACGGTACGGTCGGTACGGTTGGTACGCTTAGTAAGGTACGCTTGGTACGCTTACCAACCGTACCGACCGTACCAACCGTACCAATGAACCGTACCACCGTACCAAAACCCCCCCCTTGACCCCCCCCTTAATCTGGTACGGTACGGTGGTACGGTTCACTGGTACGGTTTCTGGGTACGGTTGGTACGGTTCAAGCGTACCAACAAACGGTACCACCGTACCAACCGTACCAACCAACCGTACCAACCGTATCAACCAACCGTACCAACCGTACGTACCAGGGAAAACACATTTCCCAACCGTACCGTACCATATATTCTTGAAATCTCGCTAAGCTCTAGCACCTATCTTGAATCTAGCTAATTTATATATATATATATATCTCTCTATACATATGTATTTTATATATGCCTATATCTGTATATTTTTTCCGCCCCAATTCTTTTCACCGCTGTTCCAATTTTACTTCACACTGCCGCAGTTCCACTTCACTGCCGCAAAAAAGGCCCCAGAAACATGCGCATGCTTTCCACTTCCCTGCGTGTTTCCAAGTTCAGCTCACCTATTTCCACATTCATGTGACCTTTAGCTTTTGTTCACCCCCCCTGGGCCTCAAGTACCTTGTGAGGTTCCGGAGGTTCCGGTGCAGATACCTTGTGAGGTTCCGGAAGTTTCCGGTGCACGTACTCGGTGATGTTCCGGAGGGTTCCTGTGCAGAGGTTCCGGAGGGTTCCGGTGCAGATACCTTGTGAGTTTCCGGAAGTTTCCGGTGCAGCTACCTGATGAGGTTCCGGAGGGTCTAGGTGAAGATGCGTGGTGAGGTTCCGGAGGGTTTCGGGGCAGATACCTTGTGAGGTTCCGGAAGGTTCCGGTGCAGATAATTGTGAGAACAGGGTTCCGGAGAAGGTTCCGGAGAAGGTAGGGGAGGCTTTGGTGCAGAGCCATGGGTCAGGTTCAACAGGGTTCCGGAGAATGTTCCGGAGAAGAGAAGGTTCCGGGGAAGGTTCCGGAGAAGGTCTGGGAGGCTTTGGTGCAGAGCCGGGTCAGGTTCAACACGGTTCTGGAAAAGGTTCCGGTGAAGGTCTGTGAGGCTTTGGTGCAGAGCCAGGTCAGGTTCAACAGGGTTCCGGAGAAGGTTCCGGAGAAGGTCTCGGAGGCTTTGGTGCAGAGCAAGGTCAGGTTCAACAGGGTTCCGGGAAAGGTTCCGGTGAAGGTCTGAGAGGCTTTGGTGCAGAGCCACGTCAGGTTCAACAGGGTTCCGAGAAGGTTCCGGAGAAGGTCTGGGACGCTTTAGTGCAGAGCCAGGTCAGGTTCAACAGGATTTGCGGCCATTTAATCTGAGGTGTTTCCAGCGCTTGGCTTCGCAGCACGCTTCCGAAAGATTTGTAAACATAAAACGTTGCGGCTGTTGGGGATACCACCGAATCCGAAGCTTATTTTTTAAGGGTGTCAGTTTATTAATAGGGCCGCTTCGAAATCCAATTGTTGGCAATATTTTAATTGCGTTATATAAGGAAATTCAATTGATTTTGAAATCGAAAAAAATAGTTTTTTTTTTTTTAAATTAAGGGTTTCCATTTATTATTGGGGTTCCCTAATAATGAAAAACTACCTAATAATAAAAACTGCCTGAGGTGTTTATTATTTGGGGGGGCGTTTAGTACTAGGGGGAAGGGATTAAGTTGATTGTACAGTACATTATTGTACTCACAAACGCCACAGCGAACCATATCCGTACATATCCGTATGTACAATATCCGTATTCAATATCCATAAAATGCATAGCAGTTGCCGCCGGTAATCGCTGCATGTCATAGTCGCCGCAGCCTGCATACACCCCAGTCAGACAGGCAGACAGATTAATGGAAATACGGACAGAGAGGGACATAAAGATAGATGAGACGCATACCATGTATCAATTGAATTCGATTGAATTCGATTGATAGATGCCAATATGAGATTTGGATTTTTGGCAATTCCATTGCAGATCAGGGTGTGTTCAACTTCGTGATGTGTGACCAAAACCAACATGCAGTTCTCAATTCATCCAATTTCAGGCCACGGGGGATGGAAACGACATCAACTCACCCATCGAGACCAATGAAGTGCTCGTGCATGAACAGCTCAATGCCGGAGCAGAATCTCTGCCCAGGGCTGGTGTTGACCAGGTCCTTAATGGTCGTCCTGCCTCGATTACAGCCCTGTAGGGAGGCCATGCCTCGTTTGGTCAGGACTTGCTGCTGAGGCATGTCCGCGCAAGTTTAATTCTTGGCGGGTTGGTATGTCTGTGCAGCTGACATAGACGCTGACACCAACTGACCGGAAACCGGCCTGCTCCGCAGACATTTCGACGGAAATGTTTCGCCCCTAAGACATGCTTTGATTAAGAATAGAGAGCTGGAGGAAACCTCTACGATGATTGAAACAACCTGAATCATGACCGACACGAACGACATGACCGACATGACCGACATGACAAACATGACAAACATGACCGAGATTCAGCTCATTCTCAGAGTTTCAAAGCAAACAGAATTCGCATGCCCGGCCGTCTTAGACAGTTTTTGGGCGCACAGGCCGCCTGCACCATCGCTTCACAACAGGCCATGCGACGCATAACTTGTTGTGATGTTATGCCTAATTTATATAGGTTAATAGAAGTTAATAATTGGATGGTTATAGGTTAATAGTTTATATAGGTTATCTATGTTGAATGCCTAATAGATGCTAATAATTAGCTGATTGAATGTTGTCATGCCTCAGCTGGGATGGTGAGATGGCGGATGCAGGACATTGCAGGGTAGAGTTCAGACCCGCGGCCATGGATGTTAAGTCATTGGAAATCTTTGGGATTCCGTCTGGATCCCAGTTCCAGTTCCCATTTTTCTTTATTCAATCTCAATTCTTACGATATTTAATCACCACTGTTGGTTCAGCCACCATTTTTCTTAATTAATTTCCAGTTTTTGGTCCAAATTATTTATGGACGAAACATCCAAAGAGTGCTCTTCGGACCCGAAGTGAGTCGTTTTAGATGCCCAATACTATTCCTGCACTGGACATCCATTGAAGAGAGGAAAAAGGTGTGGCTGGGTGTGGGTCAGCAGTAAACATCCTGGCACACATTAACATGAATAGGGAGAACAGACATCCAAAAAACAGCGGTTTGCTACTATATAGCACACATTGGTCCCATCATGCCCAATCCTTGCTTGCTTTATCCCATCCTACTTGGGACCGGCTCCGAGGTTCGGGCGTGCTGCAGGAGATCCGGTCAGAATCTGGTGGTTTCACCATGTTTCACCGATTCAAAAATGGGATGGGCAGAGATTTTTGGGCAATTTTTCATCCTTAATCGCATCGGGAAGGTCCATCCCGGAATCCTGGAATTTTTAGTAGATTCCATGGTAGATTCCCTTTTCAGGGTCACGCAGCAGTCATGGAGTCTTGAATTGAAGAGATGAAAGAGATCGTCTGAAGACATCGCGGCTTCTGTATTTTTGTCATACTGGACCAACACTGTTTTTGACACAATGTCATATTGTGCATCTATAATTACATAGTATATTATATATTTTACGCATATCATGTAGTGTATATCGTGTATATGATGTATATGATGTATCGTTTTTACTACTGTATTCTTATGTATTCTTGATATGTTTGTGTATTCTGTATTCTTATGTATTATGTATTCTTATGTATTATTTTTTCTACTATGTCCTATGTATTATTATCATTATTCTGTATTATGTATTATGATTAAGTATTGTTTAATATTATTTCGTATTATTATTATATATTATTTCTTATGATTTATGTCTATGATTTATATCATGTACAATTATGTGCATTATGTATATTATTATGTATATGTGTATTTTGTATATTATGTACACTATGTATATTGTGTATATTATGTGCATTATGTCGTTTTACGCACGTATATACACCGTATACAATATTTCGTATATGTGTTTTTGAGGATTGTGGTCTTCATCAATTTGCTCGAGGGTATGAAAACACATTTGAAGCAATGCCTAAATCCTAAGAGTAGAGTGAGGGATTAGTAGCAGTCAGCAAAACTTGAAGGCTTTCTACAGCTGCGCCAGAAGATCGTGGAAGTGAACTTTCTGGAGCACATCATCATGAGGCCTCAATTTCCAAGGACAACCCCAGGGAAACACACTGAACATGTGAACCAGGGTTTGAGAGCACCAGTAAATACAATTCAAATCCAACAGATGGTATCCATGGATGCACAATCTCGCTGCCCGATTCTGTCTTCATTAAGCGCACCAGATGGTAACCAGCAGGGACCTTGCATGGGCTTTCCTGTGTGTTCGCCTTGGCAAGCTGTCCATGCACTATATGTCTGTATCACTCTATTACATCCTTGTGAGGTCTAGGTTGGACCGGGTCGGTAGATTTGTGATTCTTTGAGGGATGCTGGCTTCAGTGCGTTGTAAAATCGGATGGTTTGTCCGACCAGCGGAGTCCATCCGCATTAAGGCGCACCAGAATGTGTTTTGGTGAACCTCGGACTCGGGATCATGGGCAGTTTCGATATGCCTGTTCTCGTGAGTCGTTCATGTGCAGGAACAAGACTCATCTGGCATCATAACTTGCAAAATGACTATTTAGACAGAGCACAGCTGCAACAGGGTTGGATCTTGATGGATTTTGTTCATTGTTCCGTTGGGCGGAGTGCTGGAATGGTACGCCGTTGTGACGTGTCGTGACGTGGACTTTGAAGATCTTACCGTGCGTTGTAAAAGGACGGACAATCGCTGCCCGATTCTGTCTTCATTAAGCGCACCAGATGGTAACCAGCAGGGACCTTGCATGGGCTTTCCTGTGTGTTCGCCTTGGCAAGCTGTCCATGCACTATATGTCTGTATCACTCTATTACATCCTTGTGAGGTCTAGGTTGGACCAGGTCGGTAGATTTGTGATTCTTTGAGGGATGCTGACTTCAGTGCGTTGTAAAATCGGATGGTTTGTCCGACCAGCGGAGTCCATCCGCATTAAGGCGCACCAGAATGTGTTTTGGTGAACCTCGGACTCGGGATCATGGGCAGTTTCGATATGCCTGTTCTCGTGAGTCGTTCATGTGCAGGAGCAAGACTCATCTGGCATCATAACTTGCAAAATGACTTGCAGATGTTTGAGATTTAGATAGATTTAGACAGAGCACAGCTGCAACAGGGTTGGATCTTGATGGATTTTGTTCATTGTTCCGTTGGGCGGAGTGCTGGAATGGTACGCCGTTGTGACGTGTCGTGACGTGGACTTTGAAGATCTTACCGTGCGTTGTAAAAGGACGGACAATCGCTGCCCGATTCTGTCTTCATTAAGCGCACCAGATGGTAACCAGCAGGGACCTTGCATGGGCTTTCCTGTGTGTTCGCCTTGGCAAGCTGTCCATGCACACTATATGTGTGTATCACTCTGTTACATCCTTGTGAGGTCTAGGTTGGACCAGGTCGGTAGATTTGTGATTCTTTGAGGGATGCTGACTTCAGTGCGTTGTAAAATCGGATGGTTTGTCCGACCAGCGGAGTCCATCCGCATTAAGGCGCACCAGAATGTGTTTTGGTGAACCTCGGACTCGGGATCATGGGCAGTTTCGATATGCCTGTTCTCGTGAGTCGTTCATGTGCAGGAGCACTCATCTGGCATCATAACTTGCAAAATGACTTGCAGATGTTTGAGATTTAGATAGATTTAGACAGAGCACAGCTGCAACAGGGTTGGATCTTGATGGATTTTGTTCATTGTTCCGTTGGGCGGAGTGCTGGAATGGTACGCCGTTGTGACGTGTCGTGACGTGCACTTTGAAGATCTTACCGTGCGTTGTAAAAGGACGGACAATCGCTGCCCGATTCTGTCTTCATTAAGCGCACCAGATGGTAACCAGCAGGGACCTTGCATGGGCTTTCCTGTGTGTTCGCCTTGGCAAGCTGTCCATGCACTATATGTATCACTCTATTACATCCTTGTGAGGTCTAGGTTGGACCAGGTCGGTAGATTTGTGATTCTTTGAGGGATGCTGACTTCCGTGCGTTGTAAAATCGGATGGTTTGTCCGACCAGCGGAGTCCATCCGCATTAAGGCGCACCAGAATGTGTTTTGGTGAACCTCGGACTCGGGATCATGGGCAGTTTCGATATGCCTGTTCTCGTGAGTCGTTCATGTGCAGGAGCAAGACTCATCTGGCATCATGACTTGCAAAATGACTTGCAGATGTTTGAGATTTAGATAGATTTAGACAGAGCACAGCTGCAACAGGGTTGGATCTTGATGGATTTTGTTCATTGTTCCGTTGGGCGGAGTGCTGGAATGGTACGCCGTTGTGACGTGTCGTGACGTGGACTTTGAAGATCTTACCGTGCGTTGTAAAAGGACGGACAATCGCTGCCCGATTCTGTCTTCATTAAGCGCACCAGATGGTAACCAGCAGGGACCTTGCATGGGCTTTCCTGTGTGTTCGCCTTGGCAAGCTGTCCATGCACACTATATGTGTGTATCACTCTGTTACATCCTTGTGAGGTCTAGGTTGGACCAGGTCGGTAGATTTGTGATTCTTTGAGGGATGCTGACTTCAGTGCGTTGTAAAATCGGATGGTTTGTCCGACCAGCGGAGTCCATCCGCATTAAGGCGCACCAGAATGTGTTTTGGTGAACCTCGGACTCGGGATCATGGGCAGTTTCGATATGCCTGTTCTCGTGAGTCGTTCATGTGCAGGAGCAAGACTCATCTGGCATCATAACTTGCAAAATGACTTGCAGATGTTTGAGATTTAGATAGATTTAGACAGAGCACAGCTGCAACAGGGTTGGATCTTGATGGATTTTGTTCATTGTTCCGTTTCGATGGCAAACCTGCGGCCTCATCTCTAGAATTGTGGAAACCTGGGGCATCTCCGTGGTGAATGGACTCACCTGACCCAATCATTTCCCAATGGGAGGATCTCCCAATCCACCCCTGGAAACATCAAAACAATGCATGACTTGTTGCCGGATGCTGTTTCAAACTGTTTCATACTGTTTCTGAACACCATGGGAGTGGCGGATTCAGGAGCTTATAATTATTAAATCTTGGTTCAATCCTTTCTCGTACAATGTCCAGTTCCGTGTCAGCGGTGCAAGGCTTAACTCTATATAGACTTGATTCTCTACCTTTGAGGGGTAACAGGGTTGCACA